AGATTGGTTGCTTTGTCCAGTGTCTATCAGACAAGGAGTTAATAGGGTTGCCGTTGGCATTTAAACCAAATTTCAGTTTCTCCCCTATGGAAATCAACAAAAGAAGTCATCCCAAGTCCCCTTCCCAGATGTAGAATGGCAAAGGTGTGGCAGCAGGTGGCGGTTGCCTTCCACCTGTTCTCTCTTTTGAATAAGTAAATTTTCTCGCGCCCCCTGGCAGAGGGCAGAAGCCCTGCATTTCTCCAGGAGTAAAGGGGCAGCCACACCCTTTTTACTAGTTTCTCACTTTGGGAGTCCTAACATTTCACTCTTAAAGGAAATTCCAGGCTGAAGAGGAGCAGCGTGCCTAAGTTTAGCCTGATTCTGGCAAGACAGCAGGCAGAATGATGAGGATACACGTGTGGTCTGAGGTGTGCCTGTCTTGGGCATTGTGCAAGGAGGTCAAATGGTGAGGAAAGGCAGGGCGTGTTGGTTTCTGAAGGATGAATCCTAGAAATCCACCAGTAGATGGGGGAATCTCTCAAGCCTTGAACCAGGACCTGAACCTCCCTCAACCTTACCTGGAGTGAACCCTCCGGGGATGCCGGTCCCACTGGGAACCAGCAACAGGGGCTGCATGATGGGGCTTCTAGCTCTCTTCTCCTTGGCCTAGATGTGAGAGGGTCTGGGGTTACACTTGAGATGCCCAGAACCCCACAGTGATGAAGCCCTGGGCTCTGTGACTTGAACCCTGTGTCCTGGTTTGAAAGAAGAGTTTATCCCTGGCTTAAGTAGACATGTGATCAGAAAAGAGAATCCAGATAAGGAAAGGGAAGGGAGAAGGTAGGAAAAAAAAACCCAACACTGAGGATAACTGATTTTCAACAAATTCACCAAAGGAATTCCATGGGAAAAAAGAAAAGTTATTTCAACAAATGCTGGAATAATTGGATATTCCTGTGTTAGAAAAAATGAAACTTTTCTTACCCACCCTACACCAACAAAAATTGATCGGAGATGAATTTTATGAACTGAAATATTAAAGCCAAAGCTATAAAGCTTTTGAGAAAACAGGAGAATATCTGTGACTTGGAGGTGAGCAAAGATTTCTTAGAAGAGAGGGGGAAACAACAACAATAAAAAAAAAAGAGATTTCATCAAAATTTAAAATGGGTGCTTATTTAAAGACATTGTTAAGAAAATAAATAGGCGAGCTCTGGACTGGGAGAGATATTTATAAAATAAGTATCTGCTATAGCTTATTCATCAAATAGTCAATGAAAAATGGGCAAAATATTTAAAAATATTTATCCATTATGAGATAAAAATGAGTGAAAAAGTGCTTAAAAATGTTATATAACAGGACAATGCACATTAAACCCACAATGAGATATCAGCACACATTCACTACTATGACTAAAATTTAAAAAACTCTCACAGTACTGCATGGTGGTGAGAACGTGGACCAACCAGAGCTCTCCTTGGCCACTGCTGTGGGTGTGCAAAATTGCTAGTTTCTTATAAAGCTAAACACCCATCTGTCCTTTGACCTTGCAATTCTACTCCTAAATAAACTTGCTCCTGAGAAATGAAAACATACACCCACAAATGACCTAGACACATATTGTGCGTTTCCATTTACAGAACATTCTAGAGCTCATGAAGGTGACAAGCCTCACAGCAGTGGTGGGAGGGGTGGGGAGGAACCAGCTAGAGGATACATGAAGGATTTTCTGGGGTGGATGGAGGTGTCTTCTATTGATCCAAGGTGGGGGTTACTCAGGGCCATGAAGAGACGCCTCAGTGAGAGGAGAGAATATATCCATATATTCATGTCCCAACCTATGGTTTAGTGCTGAGGATCTGCAGACTGGTGAGTTACAATGAGTGTTCAAGATAATAAGGAATTCTATTCCTTTCAGTAGATTCCTCAGTGTCTGAAATGTACCACTTAATGGGACAGTGGTTAACGTGAATAAAGACGACCCAATATGTGTCTGTACCTATAGTTCTGGGAGCTCTTTCTTCCCCTCCAGAGTCCTTCAGGGGTTGGAGCTGGGTCGCCCTCAATTTCCTGTGCTCTCCAGCAACTGCTCAGCATTTGCTGAGGCTAGAGACTCAGTAATTTTTGGTAGTCTCAGGATTGAACCCAGGGACACTCTAACACTGAGCAATATCCCTTTTAATTTTTTTTTTCTTTTTTCCTTTTGATTTTATTTCAAGACAGGGTCTTGCTAGGTAGCCCAGGCTGGCTTTGAATTTGCCAACCTCTTGCCTCAGTCTCCTGAGTAGCTGGGATTACAGACCTGTGGTGCCACTGTGCCTGGCAAACATTTGTTAAATGGCTAAATAGAGGAGTTATGGTGGGTGGAGTGAGGAGATGCTTTTGCAGGTGGTTTGCAAAGCAGTTTCCTTTGGATTTGTTTGCTTTTCCGGTGTCTGGTTGGGGGCCAGAGAACCCGGCCCTGGCTCAGGCCTGTCCCTTCTCACCCAATTGTTATAAGCCATTCAGATCAACAATATGATCAACTCCTCCTCCCCTGCCCTCCCTCTGCCCCTGAGTCTCTGTTCACATCATGAAGACAGGTTGGTCTTCTGCTGGCCAAAGTTCTGACAGTCTTCTAGGACCCCGAACTGCTGCCTCTCCACAGTACAAGCAATGTCATACAATAACGATAACTAGTTACTAGCCACCCAACCTTCATTGTGTGTTGGGAGCCATGCTAAGCCCCTGGTCTGTATCCTCTGGTCAAATCCCCCCAACACGTGGCTGAAGGAAGTAGGATTGCTACCCCATTTTTCAGATGGGGAAACTAAGGATCAGAGAGGTTTAAGTGATTTTTCCCAAAGTTACGCATTGGTGAGTAGAGAGGCAAGAGGGAATGTGAGATTTTGGAGCCTATGTGGCTTCAGAACCCAGGTTGAGATCTATTCTTACTCCTCTTGGGGGTTGGTTTTTGAGAAGAGTGGGGAGGATATTGGAACTGGGATGCAGGCAGTGAATAACACCATGATGGTGGCTGATCTGGCAAGGGGTTGAACAGGCTGGGATTGTAGGGCAGAGCTGCTAAGGATGTGGGGGCTCTGTGGCGGGAGCTCTGAGCTGGACCAGTAGGGCAGACTGAGGCTTGTGGCAGAGAAGGTGCAAATTTACCACCATTATTCCACCAGCTGAATATAAAGTACCTGGTATGTGCTGCTTTCCTCACCTGGAGCATCCGTTTAAATCCTCATAGCATCTTTAGGCTGGTACTATTAGTACCATTTCCATTTTGCAGACGAGTAAACCAAAGTTCACAACTGCCTGTCCTCAAATCCTGCACCACGTGTTCTCAGGGACAGAGCCCTGTCTCCCCCACACCCCCTTATTCTTCTCTTTTCTTCCCCCCTATTTTCCTTCCTAGCATTCCACCACCTCTATAGCTGTTCATCTTTGTCTTAGAACTCATTTTCTAGTCCTTCCCTGGAGCTACCCTCATTTAAATGTGCTATGGTCAATACTAACAGGGTTGCCATGTTTAGCAAGTATAATTACAAGGTGTCTAGCTAAGTTTGAGCTTCAAATCAACCACAGACACTTGTTTTCACTATAAGAATGTTCTAACATGGCATGGCACATACAGATACCAAAAAATGCATTATTAGAAGTTCAAATTGAATTGCACATCCTGTAATCCATCTGTAACCTTATTACAAGGGGCCTCACTGTACCGCTGCCCCTGAGCCTGGAGTTATCTAATTCTTCCCCTCTCTCCTTGCCAGACCCCTCCACCTAGCCAGTTCTGATAGGAGCTGGGCTATTCTGGGAATTGCAAGGACCTAACACAGAGGAAAGGGCACACATGACCTAACAGCGAGGAGGAGTCTGGCCCAGTGAATGGGGATAGGAAGAGAGGTGAGGCGGGCTGCCGTGTGGAAGTGCTGTGACGGCTTAATTTATTATTCCCAAGGAGCATCCAGCGTGGGTGAGAAGCGAAGGGTCTTCCCCTCTCCCTTCCAGACTTCCCCTTCCTGCCACACCCAGCAACAGCTTGTCCAGGCTCATCCACAGGTTTTTTCCTTCTCTTGCTCTGCTGCCCCTCTCCTTACCAGGACATCCAGTTGGTGACAGTCCACTCCTCTGATAAGGTAAGTGGGGCCCTGTGCCCGTGCTGATAAAGTAGAGGCCACCGGGACTTTCAGAATATGCTGTTGCTGTCACCACGGCCACCATAGCCACCCATCTGTTTCCAGCTCACAGGACTTCTAAGAAGGAAGCTTTCTCTAAGGTCACAGTCAATCTGGAGGGTGCCCCTCACTTTCCTGTTCAGGCCACACAGTCAGTGTGCAGGATCTGGGGGAAAAACAGCTCTGGAGATAATGTATGTAACCACATCTAGCTTTACTCCAAGGCGGGTCCCTACGCACATGCCTGCCAGACGGAGCCGTGTCTTTGTCCGTGTTTCCAAACGCCTGCCTTGTTTCCCCTTTTCCTGAGATGAAGACTGCCCAGACGGACCAGTGTTCTCCACCTTGTTTTCTTGGCACCTGCCCTGGGTACGGGCCACACCTGCAGGAAGGAGGGACCGCTTGGGACCGCCTCTGAGGTCCAGTATGGGATGCCCAGAAGGGCAGGCTGGGTCTGAGGTCTGGCCCACACATGCTGGGGTCTGTGGGTGACCTTGAACTTCACTGTCTGAAATTTTTGCTCCTGTTCCAATAGGTTTGGGTGGTAGAGTCCTACTCACCCCTTCCCTCCAATGGCTTCCAAGGATGGAAACCCCGTGTTATACATGCAGGGCTAGAGAAACCCTTGGCACAAACATTATTTTCTCCCGGGCGCACGGCAAGAGACACTTCCCTCTACCATGCTGTACCAGCACTGCCTGGCCTGTCCCCTCCAACCTGCTGGCTGCTGTCACTCACATTTGCCTCCAACTCCAGTTCAAACACTCAACACTCTAAAGCCACATTAACCCCAGCTCCTTCCTCCAGGGAGGTGGAAGAAAAAGGCAGAAGGGAACCTTCCCTTGCTTACTTACTGTCCTCGATGTCCCAAGGGAGGATGGGGGACCCGGGACCCACTGGGTGCTTGCTCAGAGAGGAAGGTGGCGATAAGTTCCTGCTCCAGTCCTTCATCCCAGCCAGAGAAAGCCACCCTGGCCACATCCAGAAGTCAGTGTGCTGTGAATCCCAGCAACGGAGCAGGCTCCAGCAGGGATGAGCTCACCAGGATGTGGCCTAATGGGTTAACTCTTTGCAAGCTGCTGGCACAGGCACTGGGGATGTGGCTTTCTCGGCTCTGCTCAGCCACTATTAGATGAATCTTGTGAAAAATTCATGAGGCTTCTCTGCAGTCTGGTGGAGGCATGCATTTGGTTGATGGTGCCTGGGAAGGGCGGCTCCTCCCGACCCCAGGCTCAGCAATCAGAAGATCTGGGCTGGGGGAGGTGCACAGTGGTGATGGTTGATTATACTTTATGACTGACCCAGAGACTGGGTCAACTGTGCTCAGTGCAGGATTTGACAGATCTGGGAAGTCCCATTTGTTTTGGAGGTTGGAGAGGACACATGCAGATGGCAAGAATACTTCTGGGTACTTTCCAGTGCCTATGGTGGACCCCTTATGTTACAAAAATGCCCACACATAAAAGCACCCCCTACCCCAGATCCAGACATCTCTGAGCTGGGGCAAAGCAGTGTTCACCCTTACTTCTCTCGATTATGTTCCTATTGTTTTTCTACTGTGACAGATGAGAAGGATGCCAATCACTGCCAGGGGAGAGGAAGGTCCCCCACTTTATAAGCCTTGGGCAGACTATGCTTGGGGAAGCTGGATGTCAGCTGCTGGGTTGACAGTTTTCAAGATGCCAATGGATATGCGATTTAGATCAGCCCTTTTCTACAACTAATCCAGGATGTGGGGAGCCATTAGGGTGGTGGGGTGGGCAAGGGTCCTTCCCACTAGTGATTGTACTTTGGATACACCTTTGTGGTTTGTAGAGAAGGCTCCTTCAGAAGTGATCCAGGGGAGATGAAGTCCAGGCAGGTGGGATTCTCCCATCATGGGCGCCTTAAATTTCCTTACTCATTGATGAACAGGAGATTCGCAGGCTGGGAAGGCTCTGCAGAGATGGCTCTGTAATCCAATCAGTGGCTAGGGAAGCAGAGAGCTTCAAGGGTGAGACTGTCCACTGGGCTGGGAGGGGATCCAGCCGAGCGGATTCCTCTATGAAAGATGAGGGCATCTGCTCAGGAAACTGGGGAGGGGAAGGCGCCCCTGGACTTGAGTGCCTGGGAGAGGACTTGACTTTGAAGGCTTTTGAGGATGTTACTTGCTCTGTTGTAGATGCCTCTAACTTTATGCTCAAACCTGTTTATTAAATCAATGGTCTTGGGTGTGCAAAGCCACCAACCCTAAGGTGAATTATTTTTGCAATGCAAATTATCAAGTTATTTATGTTTTCCACATTTCAGATTTCTGTGCTTTCCCCCCACCCTCACAGTGTGGCACTGTGGTGTACTGCTAGCTATCAGAGCCAATCCCTTATCAATCACTTCCTCCGCTCAGACACTATTCTCAGTACTTTATCCCAGTCATAATTCACTTATTTCCTCCACAACCCTAGCAGGGAGATATGTGGGATATACTGCTATCCTTGTATTTGGCCTTGAACAAATTACTTCTCTGAACTTTCATTTCCTCCTTTATGGCCATTGCTATATCATAAGAGTTTTTTTTGAGGATTGAATGACAAAATTCTTCCAGCAAGTGCTTAATGAATGTATCTGTATATATGCATTATATATATATATATATATATATATATATATATATATATACACACACACACACACACACACACACACATACCTATATATGTATATGTATCTGTATGTGTGTGTGTGTGTGTGTGTGTATGTATTGGTTTCCTTGGTTAAAACTCTTAGGCATGCCATTTGGAGCCTCTGTGCTTGTGCACACAGGCTTGCTCCTTCTGGAATGTTCTTTCTGTTCATCTTCATTTAGTTAACCCAATCATTCTGGCCCTACCTGCTCTGTAACCTCCCTCCTATGGGCTATCACAGTTGTTCTTTTGGTTTCTTATACATAATGATTGTCTATTTGCTCCTATCTCCCTGAAAGTCTCCCAAACTCCTTGGAGTACTTTTAATCAATAAAATTTTTTAAACATATAGAACAAAAGGGTTATTTATTGAGCCCCCAAATGTATCCACAATCCAGCTGCAACAATGATCAATACCCACTCTTTTTCATTTGCCTCCCTCCTATGCTTTTTCTTTTCTTTTTTAGTATGTTAAAGAAAATTCTAGACAAGTAATCCTTGCAAGTAGAGATATATCTTTTCATTTTCCTTTTCTTTTTTCTTTCTTGTTCTCTTTCAATAAACAGCCAGGTGTGTTGGTGCATCCTTGTAATCTCAGTGACTGAGGAGGCTGGGGCAGGAGTATCACAAATTTGAGGCCAGCTGGGGCAAATTAGTGAGAACTTGTCTCAAAATAAAATAAAGTAAAATCAAATAAAGAAGGCTAGAGATGTAGCTCAGTGCTTAAGAGTGCCCCTGGATTTGATTACCAGAATCTCCAGTCAAACAAAACAAAACAAAAAACAAAATAAAATTTAGATATTCCTTAATGTTAATACCCATATTTCCCCAATTGTCTCAAAACCACCTTTTAATAGATTTCTTCAAAGCAGAATTCAAACAATGATCCAGCCCTCGTTCTTGGTAGGTGTGTCTCATAAGCTGCCTCCTCTTTTGCTCATATCATTTATTTATGGAAGCTATCAGGCCTTTTGACATCTTGGATTTAATTTTTTTAAATTAACAAATATAAATTATAGGTATGCATTATATTTATCATGTATATGTTTTCAAATGTGCATGCCATGGAATGCCTAAATTGATCTAATTAACATGTCTAACCTCATGTACTTACTATTTTTTTCCACATTTTGGATTTGGTCACTTTCTTTCTCATGTGTCACTTGACAATTTTCCCTACTGTGCCAGGGCTGTATCTCAATTTCTTCCATGACTTCAGGTGCAAGCAGACTCCACTATCTTGATCCCATGTTTAGAGGACTCTGGCTCGGGTGTCCCAGGGTTTATAGCAGGCCTGTGATGTAGGCAGGGCTGCATTTTATATCTGATACTTCCTTGTGACATGGACACAGGTCACCAAGACTGAAAAACCGAATGCAGTGATCATTTCCACCACCCCCTTCCTGCCTGTCATGCCAAGGCACAGAGGTTGACAAATAGACTCTCTGATTAAGTGCAGATCTGAGTCCTTTTAGAGGAGGGGATTGCCTTGCACAGGAGTTTCCACAAGACCTTGGCATCTCTTGCCAATGCCAGTCCAGAGAGGAGAGTTAGGTTCTAACCTGCAGTGAGGGCCTGGGGTTGTGTGGCAGCAAGGGAGGGGAACTGTCCTGGGCTGCCCTGTTGGCTGTGGGGCAAACAAACCTAATGAAGAGGCACTGTTGATGCCATCTCTTGTTTCCCAGACTTTTTATCTTAATCTAAGATGGAAGCTCATTATCTTAAAAATAAAATAAAGTAAAGTAAAATAAAATGCAAGGGAAAACAGAAACCAAACCAAACCAAACCTACCAATTCTTCTGGAAAGTATCCCCAGAGGGAGTCCTAGTTCGCACCCTGTTCTTTTTGAAACTCTTTCTTCCACTTCCTGTCTCTCCCTCTTCCTCCTCTTCTGCTTCTGTTGCACACACCTGACAATTCTCTTTTTTTAATTTTTTTTAATTTTTTTTTATTGGTTGTTCAAAACATTATAAAGCTCTTGACATATCATATTTCATACATTAGATTCAAGTTGGTTATGAACTCCCAATTTTACCCCAAATACAGATTGCAGAATCACATCGGTTACACATCCACATTTTTACATAATGCCCTATTAGTAACTGTTGTATTCTGCTACCTTTCCTATCCTCTGACAATTCTCAATATGTCTCAATTTCCTAGGGGGATACGCCAAGGGGATGTGGAACCTTCTGGTTCTTAGTACTTATTAACTGAGCAGATGGTGTGAGACCACAGCCAGGCCCTGCCTGGGAAATGGAGCGCTAAGCAGGCAATGGGAATTTTACAACGAAGCTGGAGGGGATGGAGAGGCAGGGCACATGGAGAATGAAAAGGCTAATAGAGGGGACAAAAAGGTTGGGATGGAGAAACAGCTTTTTTTTTTTTTTTAAGGGGAGTGGGGAGAGGAAGGATAGTTCTCATTATCTGCCAGGACCTTTTCTCCTTGCTAGGTGGTGCCTGAGTCCCAGGGGCTGGGTGGGGCGCGGGGTCCAAGGGCGGGTGTGGCCAGAGGGCGGAGGTGATCTGCTCCTGGGGTGCGCCTGCCATCTAGTGGTGAATTTTAGGTAGGGTCCCTACCTGAAGTCTATTACAAGTGACTAAGGAGTCACTGCGCCCCCAGCGATCTGTCTGGGGCCCGGTAATTCACACTGGGCTTGCAATTAGAAAATTCAATTTCAGTGTTTGCGGATAGATAAAATATCACGAAAATATTCCCCCCATTTTCAAGATTTTGTTTTTCTTTTGGTACTGGGGATTGAACCAAGGGGCTCCTATCAACCACTGAGCCACATACCCCACAAACCCCACCCCACCCCACCCCACCCCACATGTTATTTTGTTTTTATTGTTTTGCTTTTATTTTGAGGATGGATTTCACTAAGTTGCCCAGGCTGGCCTCGAACTACCATCCTCCTACCTCAGACTCCTTAGTTTCTGTGGGATTACTTCTCAACTGGCCAGTTTCAAGATTTCAAAGAATGAAGGAAGGGGTCTTGATATTTTAAATCATTAAACGGATTCGTGTGCTCATGTCTTTACCAAATATTGATTACGGATCTGTTATATGCCAGGCCCTGCTTTAGGATAGGCTCTGGGAATAGAATTGGCCTCAAGGAGTTATAAATTTATGTAGAGAAAGAGACGGCTCAACCAACTATTCCAACCTACAAGGAGAAACTCGTCAACACAGGTAGGTCTGTGCTGTGTTACTGAGGATACAAGGTAGGGCTGGTCTGAAGGAGCTGATGGCTAATATGACCCTTGAAGAGCATGTAGGAGCCAGTAAAAAAGACGATGGGGCAGGGGAGGTGACAGAAGTGGTGGTGGTGGTGGTGGTGGAACTAGAGGTCGCGCAGTCCCTAAAGACTGTGGAGGCCAGAGTCTGTTGTGGTGAAGCTGGAGATGGTGGAGGTAGAAGTGATCTGAGATTAACACGGTATTCACTATGGACTGCTGTGGGCATTATATTTGCAGAGGGGAAGAGTGTTGAGATCCCCCCAAACAGCAAAACTGTGGACAGGATCTTTGCCATGGAAGGATCTTAGATCTTGGTAACTCTTCAAAGTGCTATGGGTGTGAAGGGCCAGTCAGTGACCACAAAAAAGAGCTTGTTCAAAGAAGAAGTGACCCCCATTGACTGGCAGAGCCAGAGAGCTT